ACCCCTTCCTTCCTTCCCCAGAAAGAGATCTCTCTGGGGTTTATCCAAGAAGCAAAAGGACACCTCACAGCAATAATCCATTTCAGAGATTCCACTCACCCCCAAGACAAACCTCATGTGACTGCAGCTCCTAAACCATCGCTCTCAATGTGGGGGTGTCCTGCTTCTACAGTGCCCCCACTGCTAACATAGGGCATATCATGGAGCAGAGTCTCCATAAAGATCTTTGGAATAAATGAGCCAGTGAGCAGGGGACTCAGATTGTCTGATACTTTCTTTAATAACCCAGGAAAATTGAATAAACAGAGATAACTTAGCTACAGGGAATGACACACAAGAAGGAAGCAAGCATGAATTCACTACAATTACTTTTATCATCTAATTCTTCTCCATTCAACACTATTGCTAAGTAAGTTCGCGTTTTCAAAACAGTTCTAATTCCCCCATTGTATCATGTTCAGGACCACAAAACACAATAGAAGAGTTCCCAATCACTTTTCAGTTCAGTTCAGTCGCTCAGTCCTGTCTGACTCTTTGTGACCACATGAACAGCAGCATGCCAGGCCTCCCTGTCCATCACCAACTCTGAGTTTACACAAACTCATGTCCATCGAGTCAGTGATACCATCCAGCCATCTCATCCTCTGTCGTCCCCTTCTCCTCCTGCCCCCAATCCCTCCCAGCATCATCCTCTTCTCTAATGAGTCAGCTCTTCACATGAGGTGGCTAAAGTACTGGAGTTTCAGCTTTGGCATCAGTCCTTCCAATGAACACCCAGGACTGATCTCCTTTAGGATGGACTGGTTGGATCTCCTTGAAGTCCAAGGGACTCTCAAGAGTCTTCCCCAACACCACAGTTCAAAACATTAATTTTTCGGTGCTCAGCTTTCATCACAGTCCAACTCTCACATCCATACATGACCACTGGAAAAACCATAGCCTGGACTAGATGGAACTTTGTTGGCAAAGTAATGTCTCTGCTTTTTAATATGCTGTCTAGATTGGTCAAAACTTCCCTTCCAAGGAGTAAGCGTCTTTTAATTTCATGGCTGCAATCACCATCTGCAGGGATTTTGAAGCCCCCAAAAATACAGTCTGACACTGGTTCCACTGTTTCCCCGTTTATTGGCCATGAAGTGATGGGACCAGATGCCATGATCTTAGTTTTCTGAATGTTGAGCTTTAAGCCAACATTTTCACTCTCCTCTTTCACTTTCATCAAGAGCCTCTTTAGTTCCTCTTCACTTTCTCCCATAAGGGTAGTGTCATCTGCATATCTGAGGTTATTGATATTTCTCCTGGCAATCTTGATTCCTGCTTGTGCTTCTTCCAGCCCAGCGTTTGTCATGATGTACTCTGCATAGAAGTTAAACAAGCAGGGTGGCAATATACACACTTGACATACTCCTTTTCCTATTTGCAGCCAGTTTGTTGGTCCATGTCCAGTTCTAACTGTTGCTTCCTGACCTGCATACAGGTTTCTCAAGAGGTCTGGTTTTCCTATCTCTTTCAGAATTTTCCACAGTTTATTGTGATACACATAGTCGAAGGCTTTGGCATAGTCAATAAAGCAGAAATAGATGTTTTCTGGAACTCTCTTGCTTTTTTGATGATCCAGGGGATGGTGTCAATTTGATCTCTGGTTCCTCTGCCTTTTCTAAAACCAACCTGAACATCTGGAAGTTCACGGTTCACCTATTGCTGAAACCTGGCTTGGAGAATTTTGAGCATTACGTTAGTAGCGTGTGAGATGAGTGCAATTTTGTGGTAGTTTGAGCATTCTTTGGCATTGGCTTTCTTTGGGACTAAAATGAAAACTGACCTTTTCCAGTTCTGTGGCCATTGCTGAGTTTTCCAAATTTGCTGGCATATTGAGTGAGGCACTTTCACAGCATCATCTTTCAGGATTTGAAATAGCTCAACTGGAATTCCATCACCTCCACTAGCTTTGTTCATAGTGATGCTTTCTAAGGCCCACTTGATTTCACATTCCAGGATGTCTGGCTCTAGGTGAGTGGTCACACCATCGTGATTATCTGGGTCATGAAGATCTTTTTTGTACAGCTCTTCTGTGTATCCTTGCCACCTCTTCTTAATATCTTCTGCTTCTGTTAAGTGCCTAAAATTTCTGTCCTTTATTGTGCCCATCTTTGCATGAAATATTTCCTTGGTATCTCTAATTTTCTTGAAGAGATCTCTAGTCTTTCCCATTCTGCTGTTTTCCTCTATTTCTTTGCAATGGTCACTGAGGAAGGCTTTCTTATCTCTCCTTGCTATTCTTTGGAACTCTGCATTCAAATGGGAATATCTTTCCTTTTCTCATTTACTTTTTGCTTTTCTTCTTTTCACAGCTGTTTGTAAGTCCTCCTTAGACAACCATTTTTCCCTTTTTCATTTCTGTTCCATGAGGATGGTCTTGATCTTTGTCTCCTGCACAATGTCACGAACCTCCATCCATACTTCATTAGGCACTCTGTCTATCAGATCTAGTACCTTAAATCTACTTCTCACTTCCATTGTATAGTCATAAGGGATTTGATTTAGGTCATACCTGAATGGTCTAATGGTTTTCCCTACTTTCTAAATTTAAGTCTGTATCTGGCAATATGGAGGTCATGATCTGAGCCACTGTCAGCTCCTGGTCTTGTTTTTGTTGACTGTGTAGAGCTTCTCCATCTTTGGCTGCAAAGAATATAATCAATCTGATTTCGGTGTTGACCATCTGGTGATGTCCATGTGTAGAGTCTCCTCTTGTGTTGTTGGAAGAGGGTGTTTGCTATGACCAGTGCATTCCCTTGGCAAAACTCTATTAGCCTTTGTCCTGCTTCATTCTGTACTCCAAGGCCAAATTTGCCTGTTACTCCAGGTGTTTCTTGACTTCCTACTTTTGCATTCCAGTCCCCTCTAGTGAAAAGGACATCTTTATGGGGTGTTACTTCTGAAAGGTCTTGTAGGTCTGCATATATCCATTCAACTTCAGGTTCTTCAGTGTTACTGGTTGGGGCACAGCCTAGGATTACCGTGATATTGAATGGTTTGCCTTGGAAATGAACAGAGAGCATTCTGTCAATTTTGAGATTGCATCCAAGTACTGCATTTTGGACTCGTTTGTTGACCATGATGGCTATTCCATTTCTTCTATGGGATTCCTGCCCACAGTAGTAGATATAATGGTCATCTGAGTTAAATTCACCCATTCCAGGCCATTTTAGTTAGCTGATTCCTAGAAAGTCGACATTCACTCTTGCCATCTCCTGTTTGACCACATCCAAGTTGCCTTGATTCATGGACCTAACATTTCAGTTTCGTATGCAATATTGCTCTTTACAGCATCGGACCTTGCTTCTATCACCAGTCACATCCACAACTGTGTATTGTTTTTGCTTTGGCTCCATTTCTGCATCCTTTCTGGACTTATTTCTCCACTGATCTCCAGTAGCATATTGGGCACCTACCGACCTAGGGAGTTCCCCTTTCAGTATCCTCTCATTTGCCTTCTCATACTGTTCATGGGGTTCTCAAGGCAAGAATACTGAAGTGGTTTGCCATTCCCTTCTCCAGTGTACCACATTCTGTCAGACTTCTCCACCATGACCCATCCGTCTTAGGTGGTCCCACAGGGCATAGCTTAGTTTCATTTAGGCCAGACTGTGGTCCATGTGATCAGATTGGCTAGTTTTCGCTGATTATGGTTTCAGTGTGTCTGCCCTCTGATTCCCTGTCCCAACACCCACTGTCTTACTTGGGTTTCTCTTACCTTGGACGTGGGGTATCTCTTCATGGCTGCTCCAGGAAAGCACAGCCGCTGCTCCTTACCTTGGATGAGGGGTATCTCCTCACGGCCGCCCCTCCTGACCTTGAACAAAGAATAGCTCCTCTCGGCCCTGCTGCGCCAGCACAGCCGTCGCTCCTTGGACGTGGGGTTGCTCCTCTCGGCCGACGCCCCTGACTTCAGCCGTGGGATTGCTCCTCTCAGCCCCTGCCCCTGCCCTGGGGCTTGTGGTAGCTCCTCCTGGTCACCACCCCTGACCTCGGATGTGGGGTAGCTCCTCTCGGCCGCACCTGTGCCGTCACAGCCTGGCGCTCTCGGTCGCTGCCCCTGACCTTGGGCTAGGGGTAGCTCCTCAAGGCCATGCTTGTGCGAGGTCCATCACAGCTGGCGTGCTTCAATCAATTTTACAAAAGAGTAAAACTCTTGTTTGTGAACTGGGTAACCATAAACCTACAGGGATTAACATCATTCACAAAGATAAGACACTGAAGTTAATGTAGCCTTCTATGAAAACAAAGTTTGAAAATTTTCTAAAGAAATCAGAGATGAATCTCTATACCATGGTAAAGAACAGGAACCCAAAGATGCTACACACTGGTTCCCCCAACTGGCCTTGGCCCTCACTTCTGAGATGGCTAACCGCTCCCTGTTCAATCACAGAAGGAAGGACCAGCCTGGCTGTTGCTATGGCTCAGGCTGCCTCATCCTCCTCCCTGGCAGCCTCTGCAGAAAGGGGTGGGAAGGCCCTCAAAGCCCTTTGTTTCACCCTGAGCAGAAATGCCATAAATTGCCACTTGCTGGTCTCTGCATACGCCTGGGGACCCCACAGGAACTCATAGCATGCAAGGTGGCTGTCAGGCAACTGTCGGTACTCCAGGTTCCCCTCCCGCAGGCACATGTGGGGCAGCAGCTCCCTGGACTCCCCAAAGACGCAGTGCTCACCCTCAGCACACAACCACATCCTGCTGAGTGTTCCCCAGACCTCCTCCTCAGGGGCATGGTCTCTATTCCATATGGTGAGGCTGAGGACCAGCACCAGGAAGCTGGCTTTGGGCAGACCCTGCCTACCGCTATGCATCGTATTGCAGGTGAGGCCCAGGGTGGTGACCAGGATGCTGATGTGCTGCCTGGCATCTACCTCCTTCACCTCCATGCCAAAGTCCAGCTGCATTCACTGCAAGGTTTGCCTGAAGACCACTGGGAAGTGCTGCTGGTTATCCCTGAAGACCTTCAGCATTTCTGCCTGGGAGGTCAGCTCCTTGGCTCGATAACTGAGGAGCAGGAACTTCATCAGGTTAGCCATCATCTCATTCAGAATTTCTTGGGGCAAGGCCTCCAAAGGAGCAGAGGAGGATGCTGGGAGGTAGGAGGCCAAGTGGGATGTGGCCTCGTCCTCCTCAGCCTCCAAGAGCTGTGCCTCCATTGGGCCCTGGGCCTCAACTGCGTCCTGAAGGTCTTCTTTGGGCTTACTCAACTCACTCATCTCGACCACAAGCATGATGCCTGGGATCAAACAAGACACGGAAGTGAGGCAGAGGTACAGATGGGGACCACAGGCCTTGGGGCAGAGGGCATGTGAGCAGCCTCGGATGAGAAATGCATCCCAGGTGGTCTGACACAGGCCAGTTATAGGTCTCCTCTTGAGGGGTGCTCTCAGGCCTCACAGGAGTGCTCCTCCTAGGAAGACAGTCCCCTGGCTAACTGAAGGAGGAAGTGTGATGGCTCCCCAGGGTGTGGTCAGCACAGCCTGAGATTTCCGGGGCCTACAATGTGGGGGGGGGGGGATTAGGGCCTTCGTGTGCCCCCCCTCTGTTCTGGGATGGGGAGCCTCTAGTACACACTCAGGGCACCCTCTCACCTTGACTCCAGATACTGCCTGGGCCTCCTCTGCTCTCTCATCTCCATCACACAGGCTTTAGACCTCTGTCTTCACTTCCTGCTTCCTGAAGCTCCTGTGTGAGAAATGGAGGGAACATCTAGGGGCTATACAGTGGCACAGCCCTGGGCCTTCTGTGATGGTAAGAGGGGTGGGCTCAGTGAACACATCCAGTTGAGTGGTGGGAGGTCCCCTCGGGGTGCCCTTGTAGTGCTCACCTTTCCCCCCTGGCACGGCTTGGACCCTCCCCTTTGGAGGCATACAGGGAAACTCAGAACAAGACCCGAGACTGAATAGAAAGCACTGACGGGCCCCACATGTAGCCACACCTCCCAGGGCCTCCCGCGGGTCCTCGGCTGGGGACATGCTCTGTCCTCAGCTCCTCCTCACACCCTGCCTGGCCTCCCAGCACTGACCACAGGGGCGTGGGTCTGCTCAGTCCTCCACCTGGGTTGGGGAGTCCAGCCTCTGCCGACCTGAAGCCTCTGGCCTCTACCCGAGAAAACTTACCTCCCAAGGTCTCTATGCCAGAGGTCAAGAAACTGCTCACCCTGTGCACCCCACTCTGGGCCCTCCAAGACCTTCCTGAAAGGGCCAAGATCCCTTCCTGTTGGGGTCTAACCTCCTCAGTACTTCCCGGCATGGAGACTGGACCCCAGGCAGCACCGGGGATTGTCCTGTCCACCATTTTGAGACCCTGCCGTTTTCATGAGATCCCCAGTCTCTCTGAGACCGTCACGTGAGGAAGACAGACAGGCCTAGTGTGCTCTTCTCACCCCAAGGGCTCCCAGGGCCGACTACAGGGGTGGGGATCTGTGGGGTTCCATTGGTCCTCACTCAGGGTCTCCTCAGTCCTCACTCAGGGTCCCCTCAGTCCTCCTTCAGGCACCTCACCTTACCTCCAGGCAGGACCTGGGATTCTCGCCTCTCTGCAACTGAAGCCCTGCCCCTTATACCTGGGACACAGCCTCTCCAAGACCTGGATGTCAGGAAGTCAGACCATGCACGTTTGGCTCATCCTATCCCAGGGCCGCCAAGGACCAACTGCAGCTACAGCCTTCTCTGAGTTCTCCTCTGATTGGGTTCCAGGGTCCCCTTAGTCCTCCCTCAGGGTCCTCATCTTGAAACTCTGGAGGAGCTGGGCTTCTTCCCTCTGCTCACCTGAGGACGCGTCCCCTTTCCCAGATCCCCAGTTTCTCTGAGACTTGGATGTCAGGAAATGCAGCATGAGCTCATCCACCTTCTGTACTCCCTGAGCCTTGATGTGAGGGTCCCACCTCGGGTCAACAGAAGGGGCATCCCCGGATCTGCCTGGGCTCTAGATGAGGTCCTGTAGGGGGGAATATAAGGAACCTCACAGATGCCTAACCCTGCTGTTAGGCCTGGACGATCCTGGTGGTGGGATGAGCACTTGGCAGCCTGTTCTGACTTCTGCCTCTGCACCTCAGAGACATGAGGCAACTGTTAGAAGAAGTAGTGCCTCAGATGGGCAGAGGGGAAGATCTTAGTTCTTTGGAGGGTCAAGGTGAGGACGCTGAGGGAGGACTGAGGGGACCCTGGACCCCAGAGCAGAGTGGGCTCTGGGAGGACGTAGGGTGGAAGGAACACATGCTGCATTTCCTGACATCTGGGTCTCAGAGAGACTGGGGAACCTGGTATAGGTGGCTGACTTCCTGACATACAGGCCTCAAAATGGGGACCTGGTACAGGGGTCTGACTTCCTAATATCTGGATTTCAGACTGGTGTCCTAGTATAGGGAGTGGACTTCCTGACATCCATGTCTCAGAGAGACTGGAGTCCCGATATAAGGGATGGGGCATTAGTAGGGGAGAGGAGTGAATCCGAAGTCCTACACAGAGACAAGTTGAGGTCCCTGAGGGAAGATTGAAAGGACCCCTGAGTGAAGTTTCTAGGGACCCCAAGTCTTACCAGACTGATGGAGCCCTACAGGTCCCAGGCCCTGTTATCGGCCCTGGGAGCCCTTTGGGTGAGAAGAGCATACTAAATATGTCCTGACTTCCTGACATCGGGGTCTGTGAGACTGGGGACATGGTGTGAGGAGCAGGGACTATGATGGGGAGAGGACAGAGCCTAGGTCCTACCAGAAGTCAAGGTGAACACCCTGAGGGAGGACTGAGGGTAGCTAGATCTGAGACCAGAGAGAACCCTGATAGTCCCCAGGCAGGAAGACCTCGTGCTGCATTGCCTGACATCCCTGTCGGAAAGACAGGTGAAAACAGCCGAGCCTCCAAATTGCAGACAGGACATTGCAGGTCTTGCCTGGAGTACAGGCTCCATACGAGGAATGACCGAGGCAGGCTGCCCACAGATACCAGTCTTCGGCCCCCTTCGGAGGAGCCGCCAGGAGCCTCCACGGATAATCACAGCCTCCAGGGTCATGTTCCAGTCAGATGAACCAACCTGAAGAAATGCTTTGTCAACCTGTTTAGGAGGGCAAAGGCAACGGAGCAAGCCCAAGTCGAGGCGGCAAGCTCCATTCTGGCCACCAGTCCTCAGGCTGAAATGCCCTGGGAGAGCCTCTTCCATACCCTCTTAGCTCTCCCCTTTCAGACACCAGGCTGTGGCCCTCACACAGGGCAAATGACCCTGCTGCAGGGCAGAACTAATGGGAAACTATCTCTAGGGGCACAGTGCCCTAGAGTCCTCACACGTGGGCCTTTCCAAGGTGCTGTTCTGTCCCCTACATGGTGATTTTGAAGAAAAGTGGCCCACAAAGGTTTGAGAACATGCATCTCCAAACCCACTGCACTGTCGTTCATGTGTAGTGAAGACAGGCGACTCTCTCTTGGGTTTCATCCAGTCCCACACCCAGACTCTCATCCATTTTCAAATGCAGGTAGACAGGGGCTTCCTTTGGTCACATCTAGCTCAACAACTCAGAACTGACCCCTGGGAGTGAGTGTGTGTAAAGGAGGCCCCTTGAAAAGCACCTAACCTGTGAGGCAACAAAATCATTCAATGTACCAGCCATCTGGGTAAGGCAGAAGAGGTCCACAGTGGTGATGGGGACAGGGGCAGCGGCAGGGGCAGAGAAGATCAGAGCTGGCCTTGGAGAGGACCAGTGAAGTGCTTGTTTTCAACAGAACAGGCTGTACCTTGAGCCCCCAATCAAGTCCTTCAAAGGGCATGTACCCACATGACACCCAAGTTGGCCATGGGAGGCCAGGGCCGGGGATAGCAGAAGCCAAACCACCCCACTTATGAAAGGAAACAGATTCCAAGGCAGCCTCCAGGGAGTCTGAATCCAAGTCCGAGACTCTGGGAAGGGGGTGGGAAAAGCAAACACCTTGGTGTTCCCAAGGTGAGCACTCTAGGGCCATGTGAGCAGTCTTTATAGGAAAAAATGGAAACTGAAGACAACTACCTGTAATGTCCAGTGGGATGATGTCCGGGCATGGGCAGAACTCAGGAGGCTGCAAGTTCAGCAGAGCACCTGGCTGTGCCCTCCCACACGGCATCGTGTGGAGTCTGTGTCTCAGGTGCTGGGGGAACAGTCAAGTGGAATGTGAGGTCATTCCCACTGTGCTCGAGCATGGCCCTACTCTGGGGAGAGCTCGACCTGGGGGATGGTGGGGGCAGGACAACAGGACTCTGACTTTGGAGCCATCTGAGCAGGACCTACCTACCGGAAGCACCAGCTGGAAGAGACCAAAGCCCGAAGAGGGGCAAGGATGGGGATGGGGGTTGGGGGAATGGGACCAACAACTCAGGCTAGGCCATCCAGCTCACTACGGACCCCATCTTCCGGGAGGGACCATTCGCCAGGGGCCCATCTGACCCCTGGGGTCTCTCTTGGTAGAAGCTGAGCCAGGGTTTGCCAGGGCCTGGCCCTTTAACAGAAGGCAGCCACAGGCCTGCCTCTTTGTAGGGAGGGGGGTAGAGCCAGGGGCACGTTTGTCAACCCATCCAGGGCCTGGCCCCCTGAAACAAGGTGCCTGGCAGCAGATGAGAGCCTTTGCAGGCAAACTGAAACATGCTTTTCTGTACTTTCAGACAAGAAACAAGCTGGGGACCCCATCTCTGCCCAAATACCCCTCCCCCACACTGGGCCAGGGCTGCCTTTCCACATTACTTCTGTGACATCATGAAACGATTAAGGGAGCTGACCACTTAATTGGCTGCCAGATTCTAGAATCTCCAGAGATTATTTATGGGGCACCCCAACCCTGGTCTGAGGTCCTTCTGCCCTGAGTGTTCACTGCTTGGGTAGAGGATGCTCCTGAGCTAGACTGGCTCCATGGATAGTCAGAGTTCCAATGAAGCACACGCAGCCCAGCTGGCCCCATCAACTGATGGGGAGCCCGCAGCAGGGGACGCCCCTGATTCCTCCACAACGCAAATGTGCATTCAGGGGAGGTTTTGGCGAAGCAGGGTGACCAATGCAAGAGCCCAGATCTGGGCTCCCAATACAACCCGCCACCCACAGGGCCCGAACCCAGAAACAGCCAACAAGCAAGAGAACAACACTGTCCTCAGGCTATCCTTCCCCAGGAAGCTCTGGATGATCGTAGAGCATGTGGTCTTCATCTCTGTGTACTAGAACGACAAGGGAGACACAGTGGTCATCAAGGCAGATCTCTTCCAG